CTTTCAAGTCCCCACCAAGCTTGTAAAATGCTCAAAGCCTTGGACCTGTCCCTTGGCTGCAGGACAGGATGATGAACATGTGATGACACATAAACGCAATCCATAAGTGACTGTGGGATTTGATTGGATAGTTAGAGAATGCCATCGATCATTTGGACCTTTCATGAATAAACAACTCTTAATGATGGAAAACTGAAGCACGTATTAGACAGAGTGCATTAAGCTATTTACCTTCCAAGAAGCAAAAGTATTAGTTACAGCTTTAAAATAAGCAATTTATAAAATTCAATGCAAAGGCAACTCGAAGTCTTAACCGAATGAGTTACTTCTTTTTATTAAAACTTTCCATGGCTTCCCACTGCCCGTGATAAATATGTAGGCCTGACTAGTGTGCACTTTCCTAGTTTCCAGTCTACCTCTCTAGGCTGATCTCTCTCCTTCTTTCCATCCTTTGTTCCAGCCAAAACAAATTGCTTTCAGTTTTCAGACTCTCTTGGTATTTCCTATCACTATACCTCGACTCACTGTCTCCTTTCTCTTAGAGATGATAATTGGGTCGATAATATTCAGTTCATAGGCTCATTATTTAATTGCAAAGACAGATTCTGAATACAGACTTTTGCATGGAAAAATCTATCAAGTGTTTCCACCTCAAGCCCCCATCAACATGCTTCCATTTTTTCTGTTTGCTGCCACCTTGCAACTTATGACCCACGTCAAAGCTTTCACCGCACTCCCTGGCTGTATTCCCCAAGTAGAGATGAGTAATACTTCCAGGAAAACGCAGCAGTCATACCACGACACAATGCCCGCAATTTTCTGTGTCAATAACAATGGTTAGTTTTACCTCCTTAGTAATTCATCGGTAAATGTAGGTTCAGGTTTTCTTAATCATCTCCTTTTATTAAAAATTATAAATTGTATAGAACCTTCATAACAGAATTTCATCAAGAATGAACTAAAGCACTCAATTGTTGCGGTCCCTACCCAAGTACACAAAAGTAGTGGATAAATAGCAAGGATAAGAGAACAGGGTGTGTTTCTATGTGTGTGTGATTCCCTGTATGTACACATTCATGATAAGAGGTGGGCAGCTCCTTCTCAGAGTATCTTACATATTTCCACTGTACAGCCGTCCCTTAATAAAAACTACTCTAACGTACAACAGAAATATTCATCTTCATTAATTGCATATGGTAGTTCTCAGATAATACAGACACTCGAGAAATAGACTTTTTAGTTGTTGTGTTTTCCAGTTACACTGCTTGATCAGATCTCTACATTCACACTCCGTTGTCCCACGATGCACAACTGCCCTAACTCTCCAACTCTGCCTAGCATCCTGCTACTTCTATGAGCTCCGATAGCCCATTCTAAAGTGATAGTTTCTTTAAGAAAATAATTACAGTGTAAATTAGTCTTCAACAAATAGTAAGGCACGTTTTGGAATTAAGTGCCTAAGTACTGAAGCTTTGCTTCCCGATGTGGTTAAAACCATTATATAAGTTGAAGCACATCCATTCAATCTGTGTACCTAGAAATATCATTTCTTCTGTTGCTAATGAAGGTCCTACAGCACAAATTTATTAAAGGTATACTTTTGCATGGGGTAATAATTGGGTCGATAATATTAAATTCATAGGCTCATTATTTAATTGCAAGGGCAGATTATGAATACAGCTTCTAAAATGTATTTTAATGAAAAACACTACATCCTGACCTAATCATATCAACCTTATGCTATCTAATTAAGGATGCAAAAAATCATTAGAGTCGCAAAATATTAGTTCCAGCTCCATCAGGCTGTGAGCTGCCCCTTCATGAATATATATTTTTTTACTCCATGATAAATAGTTAATGAGGTAAAAATGACAAAATTTGCATGTAGGCAAATTAGTTTAATAGAATGATGTCTTTTCTGACTACTGAAAGTGACCTTTTCCTTCTCAAAAACATGGCTAAAATACTTTGGAATTATCATCTGGCTGTCTTTGCACAAATGATAAATTGTATGTATGAACAATATAAAAATTACAAAATGCAATAATCCTAAATTCTCATCATACTCTAAATGTATTCTGTGCTTTTGCATTTATCAATTTAATAACATGAAATTAAGCATATTATAAAATGTCCATTTATGTGGCCATTTTTAATCCAGAGCATAAAAATGAGAAGCACGTGCTTAATAGCTAGCACTATGGCAAAAATCTAGATCAAATTTTTAAAGCACAAGAAGTCTAGACTACTTACTTGAAATACTTTTATATTAAAATGTCCACTCCACTCTTAATTTAGCATTTTAGATTATAGATGACTGCTCTCAATTAAACTGGTATAATAACTTGAAATCAGTACATCAATTATTCAACAGTGCTACCTTACTTCCCTATTGAAATAAACTAGACAAGCAATCATAAAACAAGTTAAGAAGAATAACATACAAAAATTAATCATAAGGAAGAGAAAGGCTTCATAGTATAAACACCAGGTCATGAAGAGATGTGACAAACAAATAAAATATATACGTCTATCATTTAACTTTGAGAATGTTTCTGTGTGCTTAGCAAACATCACTCCAACAGCAAGAAATAACAGGTGCTCTACAGATTTTCAAATGATTTGCATACACATCTCTATGAGTCTCATCACTGATGGATGCTGAGTCTGTGCTGTGAAAGGAACAGCAGCAATTCATCCAGATGTATTAACTTCTGGTAATGGCTCAACAGAATCTAAGCCAAAATATTTTACTTAAGACAAAAATGCCTTTGATTAAATCGTTTACTTTGGTTACATTTAATCAAATTGTCTTTTCTCTGATCCATCTGAATGTGGACACACAGTCAGCATGATGGACTAGAAACTCAAGTGACACTCTCTTCCTGAGTTCTACTCTTGTCCATCACGTGTCAGCTAAGCCATTTTACAAAGAAGAGAATAAATATTAATTTTAAAGAATTAAGGAATTTCACAATCTCCTTTAATTTTCCTTCTAGCACTTAAGCACTAGTTGACTTCTCCCTCCCTCCCTCTTCTCCTCTCTCTCCTCCTGTTCTTCCCATTCTCCCCCATCTCTCATTCTCTGTCTTCTCTAGCTAAAATAAAAACAATTCTCTATTTTTCTCTGTATTCTCTTGTTCAACTCAAATCATTTTGGTACATAAGTTTGGTTGCCTTCCAAATTTCTAAACTTCCATGTTGTGAAACTTAATGACAAAATAAAATGAACAGACACTTTGAAATTATCCTAGAGAGAAAGTGCTGTTTGCTTGACTTTTAGGATCATTTCAACCACTTTGGCCTTTTAAAAAGTATGCTGTTAGTCAAGGATTTTTGAAGAAGAAACCAAAATGAATATAAGGTAAAGTAAAAACTGTTTTACTTCAAGTCAAGGACAGTGGTCTTGAAAATGTCTGCTGTATTAAACTAATTATTAAATTAAGAGAATTCAAGACATATTGAGTATATTGTTAGTAAACCCATGTGGAATTTTTTTAAAAGCTAATGTTTAGGTTTCTATCAAGTAGGGAAGAGGATGAGGTAGATTTTATGTCTATTATACACGCAGATTAAATATGTTTAATAATTCAATGGTTCATGCACACATTCTTTTATGTATTGAAAAAATAGACAATAAAAATGTACTATTATTCTGCAGACCCTGTTAGGGCTTGAGGACACAAAGATGGAGAAACTATTGGTTTATTACACAAAAAGTCTTCGTCTAAAGAGGAAGAGGAACACACGGGGAGTTAATCCCTAGACTGTGTGTTAGATGCTGGAAAGGTCAAGTAAAACAGGCAGTTTTAGCAAAAAGGAGATGGTTGTCTCTGGCAGCTCCACCGAGAAAACACTCAAACTGAGCCCTGGAGAATAGTTTGTTTGCCCAGTGGTACGTGAGGAGTTGGGAGGCTGTCTTTCCAAACAGAGAGGAATGTACGGTAATGTGAAACAGTATGACATATTTAGCAAATTATCCGTATTTTATATGGCCTCCTCATATTTTGCTAAGAAGCATTTGGTAAGAGGAATGTTCAGAAAGGATGGGAGAGATGAGCACACAGGAGATGTCACTGGAGAGGTAGAAAAGAATCAGATCAGAGGGCAAACACACAATAGTATGAAGTTATTGAAGGTTTTATGACAGGGGACTGCAGGGTCAGACTTGCATTTTAGAAATACTATTTTGACAAGAGACGAGAATGAATTCATGGACAGTGCAACAATGTGGCAACTGTAGCATGAGATTGAAGGCAGAGAAAGCCATTGGCAAAGTATGGCTGTCATTCAGAAGGTGGGTATTGAGGTCCTAGACATAGGTAGTAGCAAATGGAATAGAGAAGAGGAGATATTAAGGAAGACAAAGAAAAGTCTAGAAAAACTCTTGAGTTTTAGATCTTTGTGATTCAGAGTACATGAAAATGCCAAGTACAGAGATTACGGAAGTGTAAATGGCACAGGTAAAATGTATGCATTAATTAATTAACTAAGTCGATTTTGTTTGGACCATACTAGGTTTTAGGTAAATTCGGGACATTCATCTGGAGATATCAAGTAGGCTGCTGGATTGTATTTTGGGGGGACTCAGAAAGGAGGTGTATCCTGGAGACACGTATTTGATCATCTTCAGCCGGATGGAAGACACAGTTTGAAAGGAGGTTTATCAAAGAACTATGGAGAGTCAGACAAGGAATAAACCAAGTACAGAACCCTGGGAGACGCTAACACGTAAGAGCCTGGTGAAGCCAATGAAAAAGGCAAAGGAGATTTCTCCTGAAAGAGGGAAATTAGTCTAGGGGACTGACTAACAAAAGCATCAAAGGAGAAAGGCAGAAGTAATATCCCTTCCCTCCTGTTCACTCAAAGTCACTTTAAAGCTGAAAATCTTGTCATGTGTGGAAACTCATTCTTTTATGTTCTTCGTAACCGTTGTGTATTTTGCCATATATATATATATACACACACACACATACATATACACATACATATATGTATATGGCAGGTATCAATAAATATTTTTATAAGAAAATAAGAGTGCTGAACTATAAGTACCATCTGGTCATGTCTCCTCATCTCGACTAATAAAAAAATAAACATACAATTGAGCGGCAAGATTTGTACAGTGGTGGTGATCAAATACAATAGTAAATGGCTTCAAAAAACAATGTGAGAAAATTTAACAGCTGACAGATATGCTAACGGAATGAGCTTCTTTCGTGCAGTCAAAACACAAATCTACTTCAAACCAACTCACCTTCCTTCTCTCACCATTGAGTCCTCTCCATTGCTCAGATCTTTTTACTATATAGCTTAGCTCCTGATTGGAAATCTCCAAATCATATGGTATAAAAAACTTGGTTTCTTCACTGTGGATGCGCTGAAATGCGTCTAATATCCAGGAATCATTGTGCAATCTAAAAGCAAAATCATTTGTTATTTGGTTTTTTTCCCAAATATTGTTTGCTTTTTTCCAAAAATGTTATTAAACACTTTGTCTCTTTTATAAATTTCTATGTATTTAATTCACTAGTCCCCTTTCTTTTTCAGAAATTATTTGACTAAGATTCCAGAAATGATTTAATGATTTTCTCTGCTAGATAGCATAATCCAACAACAACAATTTGGGGTTTTTACAGCTATCTCCTAGAAGCCTACTATGTCTGATTCTAAGTTATAGACTGTAGAAAAATGAGAAATATTTAGCCATTAGTTTGTATATGAGTGTCCAAATGAAAGGGATTTGTCAAAGGGAATTTGAGTTTGGATTTATATTTCCTCAGCAAGTTGGTTTTAGCGTCATGCCACAAGCTCAGTCAGCACAGAGGTTTTGCTTGGTTGGTTGCTTTACAGCGTGAGTAATAAACGGACAAATCTGGTGGAGTATCTAACCTGATGAGCGACTCATTTAATCTTTTCCCATTTTTCAAAACATCTCCAAATAGTCATTTAGAAAAGCACTGCTTTTCTTGTGATATTGATAAACTGACAGCAAAGTATCTTACTAAAAAATATTAATACTTCATTAGTAACATTTAGATGAGTACTATAAACATTAATTAAGCCAATGCTTATAAAACTTTCCCATAAATTACCTCTAAGTTCAGAGAAGAGAAAATGTGTATTCTATCCCTAATCTATCAGTATATTTGTTTTAATATAATGCTCGTTTTTTGTAAAAGTTTAAGTAAAATTAAGACTCTGGGGAAATATCATATTTATCCTGTGACTTAGTGGACACTTGGCTGACCAGGTTTGCCTGGAACCAGTTTAAAAAAGATAGAATTGTGCCACTAACAGTCTGTAGACCAGATCAAGAACCCTAATGCATCACAGTGTCAATAAACTACCCATCTGAGAAGTAAGTTTTTACAAGATGCCCAAAATATAAATTGGACTATCAAGATAATTAAGGATCACATGGAAATGTCTTTCTACACGGTGTGGAGAATTTTAAGTATTTTCTTTCAATGATCAGGATAATTATATTTTGCTTTAAATGGGCTAGATAATAAAATTTAAATGTATTGCTTTCCTATTATAATGGTAGTTCATTTCACATTCACTGTGTTACCTAGCTTTACCTTAATCCTGTCATTTACATATTTACATGTTAAAATCAAAAGTTAGTCTTACTCTTTATAAGCAACAGAGAGAGAATTTAAACTCAGAGTTAACTCCAAAGTTCATTTTATTCCATCATCTGACTCTTCAGTGAAAATAAAAGACACAACACATATCTTCATTTAACTAGATCCTTTCCAAAACAGATTTTTTTGACCCTTCTTGCCAACTAAGGTGCATGTGTCTTTTTTCCCCCCAACTATTTTTCATTCATCACATAGTGGAAATGCAGTCAGCCTTCTGTATCTGCAGGTTCTATACCTACAGATTCAACAAATCAGGGATTGAAAAAATTTTGAAAAAGAATTCCATGAAGTTCCTAAAAGCAAAACTTGAATTTGCTGTACACAGGTAACTATTTACATAGCATTTACATTGTATTAGGCATTATAAATAATCCACAGATGATTCTAAGTACAGGTGACCCTTGAACAACATGGATTTGAATTGTTCAGATCCACTTACACACAGATATTTTTCAATAAATATAGTCACCCTTCTTATGTCTGGGTTTCACATCCACAGGTTCAGCCAATCATGTATCACAAACTTAATACACAATCCGCAGTTCTACAGTTCATTGATTCCTAGGAGGTGGAACCCCAGGATTTGGAAGGCTGACTACAGGACTTGAGCATCTTATCTCCCGGAACCAATCTCCCATGGATACTGAGAAACAACTGAAAAAGCAAAACTGCCACCCGGCGTCTCTGATGGTCCACATGGCTTGGTGACATCTTGAAATGCAACTGCTATTCTTACTATGTTTGGAGATTCTAGGTCAGCAATGTGAGTGATTTGCGAGTTGTCTTGTTAAACAAGAACTAGGCTTTACCATTCTCTTAAGCTTGTTTAATGTAACATTCATCTTTTTCTTTTAATGGTGGTAAGATTTAATGTAGTTAAATTACTGTCAATTTGCTGCCATAAACATTTTCTATATGAAGATTTTAAGTGCAGGATTATCAACAATGCAATTAACTTTGAATTAATTAGGAATCACAGTCCTGTTTCTGCTAGCTTCTGCTCCTTTTGCCCAGGAAATGTCTGTCTCCTCTTTACATCTCCTTCATTCTGGGTGAAAGAATAATTATACAAATATCCAAGCCAGGATCTACAGGACGGTAAACAAATGCTTTAACAGAGAACAAAATGGCACACTGGAATGTGGAAAGCTGTATGAAGGTCAATTATGTTTTATTTTGATTTTTAATATTTTTTTTTGCCATTTTGAGTGGCATTTCCCAGTGAAAAGCTTCACTATGGGTTGTGAATGAGTCAACTTACCAACCTCTATTAGTTTTTAGCATATTTCTCAGCTCTACAGAGCCAGCTTACACAAACAAGGAGAAAATAGTCTGGTCATAGTCGTATATGCAAAATTTAGAAATAAATTGAACGTTGATAATTCTGTAATTCATTTGATAATATAATCAGTCAAGCAATATAACATTTATCCAAAAGTGAATTGTTTTATCCTTTTGGATATTTATGCAGTCCATACGGATCAAATTTGGTGAACATCTATTAAACATTCACTTTTTTGGTTCTCTTGAGAAAGTTAATGATTCCAGCTAAATGTTAGAATAATTTCTATTAAGATAAAAAATGTAAAAAAACAGTTCCAATTTCATAAATAAATCGGGCATTGGTAGACATTGATGACAAAGAGCAGCAAACTATTTTCTCTGTGTATTTACAGTATTAGAATTGTTCAATAAAATGTTAAATTTCAACTTTCCATGATCATATTTAGTTATGAAAGTTTGTTATTTTCAAATAGGTTAAAGATAACACAAATACACGCATGTATTTTCATATTTTTGCCATTTTGGGTATGTGTGTATAAATATCAGATTGAACTGAATAAAATTGAAGATACTGGATCATATTGGATGAAAGAGAGAAAAGGAGAAAGGCAAACATGGAAAGAATTCTATTGATTAGTGAATCTAAAAGGAGAATACACAAGGTCATTGCACTACTTTTGCAACCTGTGTAGGTTTGTTTTTAATAAAAAGCTAAAATTTTATGATATTCTACTGAAATACACATTACATGGTGATGGTTGAAAAATTTAATTTCTTTTGACAATACAACTATTCAATATGTCTAAAAATTTTACATTTTTAAATTTCTTCAAAATGTAATTAAAAGAGAGACTACATTCCACCTGTTCATAAAGCCTTAGGCATTATTGTTTATAGAAATAGGTCACATATTATGCCACAGGTTCTGGTGATGGACAATGAAACAAAGTAATTTACAAAGTCCTCTGCCCTGTGTCCTACATTTGAAGCAATTCACTGCTTGATGAATGGCAGAAGCTATTATGTTTGGTTCACATCTGAATGTGGGTCATTTACAGAAACCTAGCATGTGACATTTCTTTTCAAGCTAAAAAGGACAAGTGTGAACATTTAGCTAATATAGTATTTTAAGGATCATGAAAAGGATGGAAGCTATGACTTAAAATAGCTCTAAATTCAAAAAATATATAAAAATGAAGAAGAATCAAATATGACTGCTTATTTCTAACTCCAAAAGTTACAAAAGATTTCAGCAGTATGGCTTTATACATATTGTAGTCAATGTGCTTATGATTTAACTTTGAAAACTACTTACCTGCTGGTGTAAATACATTAGACTGTGGCATGTACAGCTCTGAATAGACAGCATGTAAACAGTCAAGCTTCTTATAGAGTGACAAGCATATGCTTGCTGAAATTCATTCATTCATTTTTTTTAATATTTAAAATTTTTTTCTAAAATACAAATATTCTTTAGCAGAATTGTTGAACACTTTAGATGAGGTGTGACACTGAAGTGCTTATATGTATGGAGAAAGCTTTGGTTGGCTTTCTAGAAATACTTGAGCAGTCACCATTCTGTTTAATAGTAATTAAAATCCAAATGGCTTTGGTATGAACTTGTACTAAATGGAGAAAAAGGGAAATACAAGGAAGCCATAAAGAAGGAAAAGTAATTTTAGTAAAAGGAAAAAGAAACTCAGAAAGTAAAAATGTGCACGCAATGGGAAATAGTGAAGAACCACCCGCATCCCTCCACCACCATTTCCAGAGACAGTCCTGTCACAGGGTTCTAGTTATGAAGTGTACATCCTTCAATGTATGTGTAGAGTCTCACGTTTGTAAGGGGACAATCATCCTCCTAATTCACTCCTCATTCATGTATTTACTTGGTCAGAAAATATTCACATGTGTCTATCAAATGCCAAGTACTTGGTAAGTGCAACCAGTAGGGGAGAGGATAGGGGAAGATTCCTGGAAGGAGGGGGAAAGGAGCCCTCATGACTCACAGAGTGATGGGGCGGCCACAGAGTATTAAGGTTGTACAATGTGGGGAAGGCATGGCCCCAATCAAGAGACCTCATATTTGTAAGAGTAATAGGAGCCATTAAAGCAAGAAGAGATTTTTTTAAATTAAAAATGATTCTGGTGACACTGAGAATAGATTAAAAGGGGCAAGAGGGAATATAGGAAGACTAGTTGAAGGCTGCTGTTACAGTAAGTCATGGGAGAGATTAGGGCATATCGGACAGGGAAAGGACCCTATGGATGGAATGAGGTGAACTGGTTCAAGAGCTAAGGAGCCACCAGAACCTGGAGAAGGTTTGTATGGAGGGTGAGAGAGAGAAAGTGTTTGAGGACACCTCCCACGTTTGTTCGTTTGTTTCTTCTTTCCAGAACTGGATGGGTGATCTTGCATTTACTGATACAGGAAACCCCTTCCTTCCTTCCTTCTTTCCTTCCTTCCTTCTTTTCCTTCCTTT